ACAACATCCTATTAGCTAACGAACTTCTCAAACTAACAAGGCAAGACAAGCAGAATGCGGCCGTGGCCTTCATTGACTTCGAAAAAGCTTCCGGCCACGTGGACTGCCTCTTTATGGACAGATGTATGGAAAAAATGAACATCGGGCCTGTTTTCCAACGCTGGACCAAAATATTGCATCATAATGCTACCACGAGTGTCCAAGTTAATGAAAGGATAGCATTGGCCTTCCCGCTGCAACGGTCGGTCCGCCAGGGGGACCCTTTGGCACCCTTCCTGTTTATAATCGTGATGGAGGCGTTGGCAGCGAACCTCCGCGCCTACAAGGACATGAGGAAGTTGCAGATCTCGCCCATCCTTGAAGATGCAATTCCTGTATGTTCCATGTTCGCAGACGACCTGACAGTCATGGTGCATGCCACCGCAGCAAACATGGAAGAGATCAGGAGACTATTCAACCGGTTCACATTGGTCTCAGATATAACCGTTAACTTGGGGTGGTGGATCCACCATCAAGGGGTGTGCCCCCCGGAGTTGCCACGGGTCAAGCGGCTCCCGAAAGGGGCCCCATCTAGGTATTGGGAATTATGTTGACGGAATTAGTTAAGCTTGCATGGAACTGTGAGTGCATCCTTAAACCACCAGTACTTCCTAAAGGCGTGCCCATTGACGGCACCACGATTTTAGGACACGTACAAGAGCGTCCAAATTCATCCAACTAGAAATGTTTCTACTCTATTTTTTTCCAAGGCCGATAGTCGGACCAAGTACTGGTGGTTTAAGCCCATTTTAGAAAAATTGGTTCACTGAAAAGATCAACACACCTCCCTAATCCATAGGGCGCTCGCGATCAACTACACAGTGCTGGCAGCCCTTTGGTACAACTCTGCAATTTGGGCGCTCAGTAAAGAGGCCGTCCGATGGCTAAAGCGGCAGTCAACGGCCCTGCTATGGAGAAGCAATGGTGAGCTCACGAATGTTATTAGCAAGGTGGCCTGGTCATCGGTGATCCAACCCAAAGACAAAGGGGGCCTGGGGATTCTAGTCCCGGATACCAAGATCACAACATTAATGGTTCAATGGGTTAGGAGACTGCTCTTCACTCAACACCTCCCATGGTATGCCCTAACGCTAGAACAAATAGCTAGATTGGCCCCATAAGCACCGCAGGGTGTTAACCCATTAACCTGGCTGACAGATCGTTATTGGACTATACCATGGCGCCCTCGAGCTGGTCGAGGCTTAAACTGAGACATAATCGGCAAGGACTTAGCCAGGGACAACTTCCAGGCCCGGGTTCTAAGGGCCTGCCGCCAACTCCCGCTGCCTGATAAACCCCCACTGACTACGTGGGAGGACGTGATGCGTCAGCCCCTTTTTGGGAACAGGAAGATTACAAACCAGTGCGGCAGGGTGTATTGCAGCTCAGACACCCCGCGGTGAGGGGCTGGAAAACAGTGCCGCAACTGAGGGTCATACGAAAGCACTATCACAATGTCGAAGGCACATGCGGACGAAACAGATGTTAACCACTTCCACTTAAGCAAGGATAATGTGCTCAATCGGTACACCCCAGAGGATGAGATGGTGGAGGAGTGCGAACCTTGACAGGATCTGCGTGCTAAGGGATAAGGATATGTGAATCGCATACGAGCCAAATATCCCCATGGCAGAGCTCCCCTTTGACCCCGAGGAGTGGCAGTGGAGCCCTACACGAAAAATCAGGTCGGCGGAGAATGTATATCTTAATCGTGAAGGCTACGTAGCGGCTGCTGCAACGAAGGTGAACATAAAAGAAACAGTGAAGGCCCCATGGAGATCTCATTTGAACGTATGGATTGAGGCGATCTGCCCGATCCAATGGTTCACCACCATAAGGTCTAGGCCAGAAAAGATGGCCTCACTGCAGTGGCAGAAAGAGCATTTCTGCCTGCCCACCAACGACTGGTTGGTGGATCGTATATATCTAGAGCAGAAGGGGTGGGCACTACCATGGTGTAAATCGTGTCACACCGCCTTCCCCCCCCCCTAGGATTCCGAAAACCATAGAGCACATCCATGCAATGCCCGATGGTTGTCCTCACATGGCAATGGTAGGATCTGGACCCTGTTGGGCACAGGGTCCACCTGGCCATGGGATTGAAGGGCCATTTTATGCAAGGCATGGACCTCGCCCATGGACAACACTTTTGAAAACAACATGTTTAAGATAAGGAGGAGAGCGGTCATGTGGACCCTCTGGAGGAAACGTTGTATACATGCCATGGAGGGGGTCCCCATAGGTGGGAAGGAGGTAACATACATGATAAAGCAATATATACAACAAGAACTCGTGTTACAGTGGCAAAAAGTAAAAAACAAACTGGAGTTGTTTCACTCATCAGAAAACATAATACAAGCAATTCATCAATTCTCTGGGGACTGGTTGGGCAGTGAGAACAAGGGCTGGATCGCCTTCGTCAGATGGGACGGCAGGCCCGCCCAGGAGTGTAACCAAGAAGAGTTCAGCAGAGACTACTGTATCTGCTTCAGAGACTGGACTACGGTGGGTCAGGAGATCCTGCTTCGACCACCTACAGAATTTCCCAACCCCTTCCCGCACCACCAGCTGGCAATGGTGGACGTGCAATGGTACGGAGCAGATTGAGCAAGATCACAGGTTGAAGGGACCAAGTAAGGACGGGGCAGGTCTACAAGCAGGATATGGAAGACACCCGCATCATATTAAACGAGCGGTATAGGGCGGGCTGGTAGCTGGTCATGGGAGGCCGTGTTATTCAGAAGAAGCAGGGCTTAGCTGCTACGGAAACAGGAGTGATCTAGCGGCCTGGTACAGGCCAAAGAGGCGGCTCCATGCCCCAAAGTGTACTGTTGTCAAACACAATTATCATTAATCCTGCGCAGTCAATACCCTGGGAATAAAAAAGGTTTCCTTAAACCACCAGACTTTAACCCAGCTATCGGCCACAGAAAAAAATAGAGTATAAACATTTTTAGTTGGATGAATTTGGGCGTTCTTGTAGTGGCCCGTACGTTTTCTAAAATCGTGCTCGCTTATTTGAACCTACACTGCCTCTCAAGTCAAACCAACTTTCTCCTCGACGAACAATCACCACCACTTTTCCACGAGTGGAAGGAACACTTTTCCCGCACTTCCCACCCTAGGTTTCCTTAAACCACCAGTACTTGGCCCAGCTATCGGCCACGGGAAAAAATAGAGTAGAAAGTTAGAAGCATTTCTAGTTGGATGAATTTGGGCGCTTCTGTAGTGGCCCGAACGTATTCTAAAATTGTGGCTCCGTACCGGTTTCCTTACAGGGAACAAACGACAACCAAGTAAACCGATTCGGTTGTACGCATATTTGAACGTACAATTGCTCTCAAGTCCCTCTCAACCTCTCAAGTCAAACTAAAATGTCCTCCACGAGCAACCAACACTTCTAAAGAAAGTGCAACGAACGGAAAACGTTTCCCTGACGTGACACTAGCCAAGTATCCACGCGATGGATGCTATTCTAACTTCTAAGGGCAAACTCACACTGCCATCTTTTTTCTTGCTTCTGGACGTCATCGCGGTCACATACATTCAGGTATGGCCGTAGTCGAGACACATTTAGGAAAGTACAAGTATGCAGGATACAGGTCAGACTTCTTCTAATCTATAAAGAACAGCCAGTCATTACAGCTGCATTTGGGGCACCATTCAGTCTAGATACAGCCATAATGACCATGCATTTTCTTTTTATTCCAGTGAAGACGCTAGTCAGGATCACCGATTGCAAGTTTCAAACCACCTTACCAGTGAAGACGCTAGTCAGGATCACCGATTGCAAGTTTCAAACCACCTTACCTTTCGGGAGGCTTCGTTATGACATGCAGTCGTTAAACCTCTACGGAGGGGTGGTTTTCTGAGAAAGCGAGTGGGTGGCTTCGTTATGACATGCCGTCGTTAAACACGTACCGAGCACCGAGGAGAGGGGGCGCAACTCTGTTTCAAAGTGAAGTTTACTCTTTTGCTTCCATCCCAGCACCTGATTCCAAAATGACAGTTCTTGCCAAAAGTTTGGCGGCTGTACCGTTACTATCTTTGCACATTCTAAGCACTGGGATATCACACAATTCACCTCTCCAGCTAGAATGTGGAAGATAGTGTTTTAGAAAAAGATACAGCCGCCATAATTTTGTATTTTACGGCGTTTCAGGGTGAAATTTACGCATCTGGTGAGCGGTGCAGCGAGGCGCATAAAGTAAAATAAAAGGGATAGCTACTGTCTCCTCTCTGTCCAAATTTTCCGGCACGACAAAGGGATCTCTACCGTCCCTCAACTTGTAGATGCTTAACAGTAAGACAAAAGGATCCCTACTGTACGTGTCTTCTGAAGTGTATTCGGTCTTTGGCTTCCATCACAGCTACCAAATCCGACCGCCTATGGGTGCACAAGTGTTTGGTTTTCGCCCCGGTAGATGTGTTATACACCATTTTTTTCCTAAAAGAAATTAGAACCCTTACTCATCTATTTTTTCTCAGTAGAACTTCCCAAAAGTCCAAAACCCTAAACCCCAATAACAGAAGTTTTGACCAATCGAGCAAGTTAATAAAACATGCAGTTGGCTAAATCCTATTCCGTTCTGCACTGGGACACTTACTGAAAGACAAAACGATCCTCAGAAAACAACGAGCTCATCACTCACACACACACATATGCATACACACACACACACACACACACACACACACACACAGAGAGAGAGAGAGAGAGAGAGAGAG